GAGGGATGCTTTGAGCAACTCGTACGAGTTACTTACCTCTGGACTCGACATCTGTACGGTTACGCTGAATTCCTGCGGTAGGGCGTGAATAACTGCGATAAACTGTGAACGTTGGTCGGTTATGCCATGCTCACAAAAATCAGACTCAGCTATCTGAAACCACGTTTCAGCATTATCTGGTCACTGTGGTACGAGCTGAATTGTTTCGGCAGTTGAGCGAATACGAATAACCTTGGGGCTAGGATCACTCATGACGAAATGTATGCCAATTACAATATAGTACAAGAACAAACACAAAAAGGAACGAACTCACCGGGTTTATCTGCGTGTTTATCGAAGATGAAGTTCGTGGTTGGGCTCACCAGTTTGGTGGTTGACGGTACCGACGTCCGCGAGTTGTACGGATTATACTAACAACTTCTATGGTGTTCGCTCTTCGAGTACCAAAGACAAAGCAAAAGACCAGATTTAGTCGTCCAGAGTACGATATATACTTCGGGACCAAATCGCGGGCTGAAGTGAATGATTAGCTGGCTAGTAATCGTGCACGCACGTGACACGACGGAGTACCAAATGGCGAGGATGCTTGACCGGAATCCTTCAGCTAAACAAGTCGACTTAAACAGTGAGGGTCAGTATCCAAGGCAAACCATCCCCACTGAGGGTAACAGTGGGCCCTATCGAGGATGCCTATAAAGTTTTACGGACTTCCCAAGTCCTTTCTATAGGGAGGACCTGCAATATACATGTTGGGCCAGATAGGCCATGGAAGGAAAGACAAATGGCGAGGGAGTCGCCAGAGCTTATTCCTTCTGCCTCCGTGGTTATTCACGGCGTTCCCGAACTGGTAACTGGGAACGCTTGTGAGAATCACTGTCACGATGTACGGCAATGGAGATGGTTGTCATCCCAGATGGGTCTGGGAAGTTCAGGGGCTGTTTCTATTTATAGACTGCCTCGACCCACTCACCTTGTGCCAATTAACACGCCACGTCTGTTAGCTGTCAAGTTCAGCTCCCGAGGCCACTTGACTACTGCTCTCCAGAGATGGTACGAGACCAAGGACAAGGTCAGCAGACACATTCGCTGCTGCGAGAGCCGGCCTCGTATCCAAAGGAGAGAACAAAACGTTGTCACAGAACATCACCAACCCCTAGTCACAGTACAGCGGTGCAGCACGGACGATGATAGCCAGTGTCATCCAAGTGCTCCGATTGAAACAGAAGAAAAAAACGCCAACAGGCCGGTTCCCGGGGAATCGGCCAACTAGTTCGTAGGATAACTCCTCAACCGATAGCCCACATCACGTCAACCGCCCCCCCAATACGGGGACGTGGTGAGACTGACTACCAGTTGCCTGTATAGTAATGTGAGAGGGCTAAGAGGCGAAATAGCTGAACTTAGCTACCTACGATCACAGCTGAACTCCAAAATCATAATGCTGGCGGAAACCTGGCTAACCCCTACGGTGGCAGACAGCGAAGTCAGTATAAATGGTATGGTCCTTGTCAGGCGAGGTAGGGATCTGAAAGAAGGAGGTGGAGTCGCCATATACGTCGACAAACAGCTCAGATGTGTCCATGCAATCGACCCTCCCCTCATTGAGCTCCCTGACTCCATATGGTGCCATTTCACCGTTGGGTACTGTAAGTATCCAGTGGGCAGCATTTACAGATCACCTTCATGTGGAGCAGACCACAACCAGGTACTGCTGAATGCAATTTCAGCGAAAAAAGACATGGGTTATCATCAAATTGTCACAGCTGGAGACCTCAATGCCTCATCTCTTAACTTGATGACGGGATATGTCCATAATGGATTTGATCGAAATCTGCTGCATACCATAAGGGAGGCTGGATTCACTGAAAATGTCAGAATGGATACTAGATGGGGCCCAGATGGGAAGTCTTCTAGACTGGATTACGTGCTCACTGGTGACCAGCTACTAGTGGAAAACGTTCAGATCACGACTCCCACAGGTAGTAGTGACCACGCGGTCATAACATTCGACATAGTCCTCCGCGAGCGTTTACAGTGGGACAACACACAGCCCTATCTGTGTTATAACAAAGCCAATTACACCGAAATGCGAAGACTTTTGTCTGAAGCAAATTGGCCAGAAAATTGGACAGAGCTTACAGTAGAAGAACACTGAGGAGTGGTAAAGGAGATCATTCACCAGGCGGTCTCAGACACTGTTCCTTTAGTCACACTAAAAGCTAGGAAGCACCGTTCATGGCCAAAAAGGGGGACACAACGCCTTCTGCAGGCGAAGCGAAAAGCCTGGTTTGCGTGGCGAGTATCGAAGAGTCAACCCGAACATGAAGTGTACCTTGAACTCAGGAATCGATGTAACATACGAGTCCAGAGTGATAGAAGGACATTTCAGAGAAACCTCGCCAACAAGCTTCTCGTGAACCCCAAAAGCCTATACAGGTTTATGTCTGAAAGAAAACTGACCAACCAGGGAGCTTGCAATATAGTGGGTTCTGATGGGAAATCTCTTACTAGTCTTGAAATGGCAGAGACATTCAGTCTAGCCTTTCACAGGCAACTGAACAGTAATGAGGATTTTACCCCCACAAAACATCAAGATTACAATGCAAGACCAACGTGCGAAAACCCGCTGGGTACATTTCAAATTACCCCGGCTATGGTACTCGTAAAATTGGGAAAGTTGGCTTCGGGAAAGTCTGCAGGTTGCGATGACATAAGACCATCCGTCCTGAAGCAGTGTTCAGAAAGTCTCTGCCAACCCCTAAGTGATCTGTTTCAATACTCCTTTGATGTAGGGAAACTTCCATGTGAATGGAAACGAGCCATCCTATCCCCTATCTTCAAGGGTGGTGACCGGCAGAATGTGACCAGTTACAGACCAGTTGCGCTATTCCCAATGATATCGAAGATATTGGAAAGTCTCATTGACGACCACATGAGAAAATACTTCAACGGGACTAACCTACTCCATGAAGCACAGCACGGTTTCAGGAGGGGAAGATCCTGTGTGACGAATCTTCTACTAGCTTGGAACGATTGGACACTATCCTGGGATGTAAAGGTACCAGTCCATGTGATCTTTCTCGACTTTGTGAAAGCATTCGGCACAGTTCACCATGGTCTGCTCCTTCACAAAATAAGCAAAGCGGGTGTTTCTGGAGCACTTCTCGCATGGCTGGAAGATTATTTAGGCGAGAGAGAATTCTGCACCAAAGTCAACCGCATCCGATCATCCTGGCACACCTCGGCATCAGGGGTTCCTCAGGGTTCTATCTTAGGGCCGTTGATGTTTTTGATTTTTATCAACGACCTACCCTGTCAACTAAACTTCTCTGCGCTTCTTTACGCTGACGAGGTAAAGATTTGGAGAGCAATAAACTCAACGGAAGACTCCGACAGATTGCGGGCTGACCTGCAAACTCTGGGAGACTGGGCTCTGGCTAACGGAATGCCTTTCAACCTAAAGAAGTGCAAAGTAGTGCAACTTCATCCCGGGAGGTCACAGAGTGTAAATTACATCCTTGGTGGCCAGAACTTGAGTTGTGTGCCATCAGAACGCGACCTAGGTCCTATTTTAACAGAAAAGCTAGACACCAGTGTAAATTACACAAGGGACGTCGCCAAAGCTTACGCGACTTTACACTTTATTCATAGGCAGCTGGGAGCTCCTACTCTCGAACTATTCTTAAGGTTGTATACGACTTGCGTGAGGCCACTCCTTGAGGTGCATAATATCATTGCTCATCCGCTACTCAAAAGGGATGCTAACATGCTAGAAAGTGTCCAGAGACGAGCGACAAAATGGGTGATCGGCCTCCGCAACAAATCATATGAGGAGAGACTGAAGAAATTAAGTCTTTTCACACTTAGTTACCATAGTCACAGGGGTGACCTCATCACCGTCTATAAGATCTTAAATGACAAGGCCCACCCTAATAAAAGCATCCTGCCATTAAGTGATTATAGGCTTCCACGAGGTAACCCGCTAAGGATAGCACACCAGAGACCAAGGACTCGAGTGCGTTCACATTTCTTTTCGCTTCGAGTTTGCCGTCTCTGGAACGCTTTACCGGCGGCCGTGACTTCAGCGCCATCTGTGGAGACTTTTAAGCGGAAGCTGGACAACCATGCAGAAATGCATGGTTTGTGTCTCAATGGCTTATCCTCTTAAAATTTGAAACCACACTGTCAATGGATAAGCATACAAGCTAAATCCCCATGAGTCGTTCTGTCTTCTCTCACTGTACCGACTAGTCACCTTTATTATTTCACTTATCTCAACCTACATTATCTACACTACAACCTATTATTATTATTATTATTACTATTCCACTTTTATGACTACACCGGATGACCAGCGGGTGTTAGGTCAATCTCCATTCACGGCAGCAACTCAGTCCTAACATACTGTACACTACAAACCACATCTTGACCAATCCTCGCACCACTCCTCTTGGAGTCTACCAGAGCTAAAGCAGTCGAGTGGCGGGATTTACTACGCATAAGTTCACCGAAGATCTGGAACCTCTACCTTACAATCAAGAAGCGAGCTCAAAGAAATCACAGGTTTATACTAGCTCGTAATCAGGATATTGCATATTGGATATTGAGTGATGATTGCTGTGGTCAATAATTTTGGGGAATTATTTACCGCTACACTGTCTTCTGTGACGAAATCAAGTCTCTGAGTTATATTCAAATAGTGATTTTGTAGTGAGGGTTAACTAAAGGAGGCAACAAGTTTATCTGAACAGGCAATTCGAATAAGGGACTGCGAAGAGTCTTTGGCTCGTGGGTAAACTGCATACATAAATTGCTGGGCCGCTTGGTATGGTGACTAGGGGCGTGATTGCTTGCTCATAGCCCTTTGTAAGCTACTATAGTTAGTCGTCACCACACTACTCTGAAGGGCTTGCTGGTATCCTTGCAGAGGAATATACCAAGGTGGTTGACGCTAGCTAACCAGCTGTTCCAACGTTGGAACTGAAGGCGCAGAAGTAGGCGGATACTTAACATTGCGCGCCAGTTGAAAGTGAGCGGAACACTAAATGTGATTGTTTAGTTGACACCCGGAATGACTACAATATTAATACTAGGAATTATTTATGAGTAGTCAGATAAGAGATTCTGAGACACCAGGGACTGTCATTCAATTGGGTCGGAAGTAAGGCTAGACTATGCTTTGAATTAACACTTTGTGAATAAAAAACCATTGTGAGGAAATACTGAGTGTAATCCCTAAAAGCAACCCAGAATTAGATGTTAATAACATCCCATTTAATTTCTGAATTCAGTAGCATCTATGCTTTTTCTATCAGTGCTCTCTATTCCGTAAAAGCATGTATTTCCCTCGAGAATGTAGATAACAGAAAATGCGAAAAGCATATGTGAGTACTGAAATTATAAAGAAAGTGATACAGTCAAGTTGGTTTTAATTCGATAACTTCGGAGTCATTTCGGCTTGTGACTTTTACTTTCTTCATCTCGTTCACATCCCATCGTGGTACATTTTTGTGTTTTTTCCTATTGGCCCCTGAGTTTCCATTTTCTTCAAAACTGCGTGATTTCTAGTCTAAGCTCATGAGTCTTCACACTCCTGGAGTTATAGTATGGTAATTCCCTTGTTTTACACTCGGTGTCATCCAGATTCCTAAAGTTACCAACCACTCGGCTGTCCCCCCCCCCTGTGTATTTTCTTCCGTTGCAGTTATATTTCGCTACTCAACTTTTTTTGTGTTATCTAATAGATTGTGGTATCTCTGCGGTGGCAACTCGGCCTGTATCAAACATGGGTGACTTCTCACAGAATGTAATATTTTGATGACACTAAAGAACAAAACTGTTTAACTTCATTGTTTAGTTTCAAAAATAACCTCTATTAGAGTATTACTAATTTTTCATCAGGTTGCTGAGGTCCAGTATATGACATTGAAAATTTATGAGCAGAATTAAGCATCAAATGCGCATTTCACAAGTAGTCCCTATGCAGCTGATGTGTGACATTCAACACTAGCAAAACCCTTATTTAAGCGGCATTTTATTTTTCCACCCGCTACCTTCTCTTAACACTTACAGAAATAACAGGCATCGGTGCAGAGTAGCTGAAAACATAAGATGTATCTTTCATAATTTCCTACTTATGAAGTTGGAGAAGTATCCGACCTACATGTGACTAGCCTCTTCACTAACAATCTTTATATATATATATATATATATATATATATATATATATATATATATATATATATATATATATACTCAGAGTTTTTCATTTATAAGTAAAGGGCGGACAATGCCAATTTTGGAGGTTTATTTGCCCTTATTATTTACCTGAAACTGAGCAGGTGGAGCAGATCACTGGGTAGTCGCGTGAAAGTTGATCGCAAACTTCAGCGATATAATTTTTTGGCTTGAAGTACGACGTTTCGAAACCAATAGTTAGTGATGCTGATTGCCTTATATTGTTTTGTTACTTATATATTCCTGTCGTTTGATGGCTTTTATCTTGACTAGGTGTTAAGATTCGCTTACTGTACTTGTCTACCGAAACTAAATTGTCCATAAAAATTGTCTCTTACTATGTCACCAATGTCATTGGAAGTGAGTTACTGTCGCGTAGGAAGTGTATTTTGTAATCTCGTGCGGATGTGAAGGCTAAACGGTTTGGTTAGAGTTGTGGAAGCAATGAAGATGCCGTCTTTACATTTTGGAAAGAAGACTAACCCTATGGATAAAGCAGTAAATTTTCAATAATTTTGAGTAACTGAGATATCATTTCTTTATTGAACCTTGCTGCAATCTACATACTCGGCGTTTTAAATCTAACTGTTAACGAAACAGTGGATTGTGTAAATGTAAACTCATCCCGCAACCTGTGAAATAATCCGTTGTCATTACCTAATTAATATTTTATCTTCACTGTCATATATGTAGTTCTTACTGAGTCTCAACGCAGTACTTTGTACAAAAGTGCAGCACTTCAAGTTGATGGAGTCAATAAAGCTTACATATACGGAGAAAAAATATGCAAAGGAGTTGTAATGAACGGAAATGTACGGGAAGAAGTATAAGTACTTGGACAATAATGGGAATTCTATGTATCTGGGAATCCAGGGGAAGTGATTGCATCTGCGCCATTAACAAGGATTTCAACCCCTGTCACCAGCAGTCTCCGACCATTGGATCTTAGCTACTCATGGGTCTAAGCTAAGCGGTCTACACCTTCCTGTGTAGCTCAAACAAACAGTCAGCTTTTGACTTGGTCACCCTTGGCTTCTCTCCAACCTAATCGTTTGTTAGCTAACAATGTGTAAAGTTTGTTTCTGCCCTAATATACATTTTTTGTTGGTCTTCGTTGTTATTTTGATGCTTGATATCTTTAAATGATGGATTGTTTTGCTAGTCTCTAAATCAGTGTCATTTAGGCAGTTGATTAATAAGAATCTTTTTGAATGTAATGCCAGTAGTGGGATATATTGCATCAGCAAAAACTTATATTAGTTTATATTATGTTTTAGAAGGCCATGGAGACGTGTAATTCTGGTTGCGGAGATGAAAATCATGTTACAGAGTGAGTTTCTTAATTTTGTTTCACACTGCCAATTTTGTGATTAGGAGATAAGGTGAAATGAGAGTATGTTTTACCGTATAAACTGTAGTGAAATGAAACTCATATAGGCCATATTTCTTGATAAGAGCAGAACAAGCTCGTTTACTTCTATTAGACATTTGTTAAGAAAGATACTTCTTTTTGTTTTTGCCGCTTTTCGTTTAAACATATACCTTGTTTGAGAGGCGTTGATTTACTATTTGTAACGCCACTAAGACTTCTCTTGATTATACCTATTCATTTACTATTTCATTATACTGATACATTTCAATATTATGTGCCTTTTAATCTGTTAATCTGGTGATTTCAAATATGGTGAGCTCTTGCAGTTCACCTATAGACAATTTTAGCACTATAGAGTAGATGTAATTGACATTATCTAGTTTTTTTTCCAGCCAACTTGTTTACAGATTCTGAGTGTGGTAGTAAGGTGAGCTATAACTACTCCTTTTCTGACACCTACCTTGTGCTTGTAATCTCTCATTTTGCTATGTACATATATAGGAATGTGAGAACTGAAAATCCATCAGTGGATTTATCTTTCTTCCCTGAGCATACATTTGGTGAAAATGGCTATTTAAACTTGCTGCGATATATACTTGCCAAAGGTGTAGAGCGGACTGATCGTACAAAAACGGGAACATTTGCGGTGTTTGGTCCACAGCTTCGTTTTTCTCTTAGAAACAATGAGTTTCCTCTCTTGACTACAAAAACAGTAAGTTCTGTAGTAAATTGGCGTATTTCGGATTTCATTCATTGATTGCTTTTAAATCCACAATAAGCACACACACAATTCTTCGGTTGTGCTGTGCCAGTCGGTTGATAATTGAGTTTTTCTGAGTAGCTTCATATTCCCCTTATTTTATGTTGCATTTAAGATAGTTGCTTCCATTTTTTACGTTTATTATTATTATTTTGTATTCCATTTACTCGGATACCAAGGCAATATTTTCTGCTGAATATTGCAATATTCACACTATCGTTGAATGAACCATGGTTTCAGGATATTTCATACATACCTATAATAAGGTGAGCAATATTGAGTTTAGGCGTCGAGTGCTAGGTAAGGAGGGGAAATCAATTGACGAGGCTGTGAAGTTACATCGACTGAAATGGTAAGGACATGTGTTACGTATGTCTAGTCATCGCCTTCCTAGACAACGGGCAATGTTAGCTGATATAGGGTCAGGCTGGAAAAGAGCTAGCGGCGGTCAAACCAAAACATGGCACCAGTCAATGAAATCCACAACAGTTAGTCTAAGCGACGTAGGAAGGTGTAGACTTCCTGGTGGGGGTCCTCGGGACGGTAAAAACCAATGGTTGGAAACAATTGTTGACATGGCTCAAAATCGTTTTCAGTGGCGCAGATGCATCCACTCCTTGTGACTTATGATTTCCAATGAAACTGTTTTGTTCTTCGTTATTACTATTCCTTTGTCTCACACCTCTGTTTACTGTCATTATTATGCATTTCTCCTACTTCCTTCTCTTGCTTTGTGTGCTACATGGAGTGTGGCGACTTGAACTGCCGCACATATGTGCAAAGTTCTATGTCGAAAACAGACAGACAGATATACCTTTTGAATATAGTTGTATATGTGTGCTGGTTTCCCACTGTTTGGTTTAGCTAGAATGTGTTTCTATGTTATACATTGATAATAAGTCCTCCCAACACAAAAGGCGGTTTGATCCGAATATAGAAATCTTACGTGGTTTGCATGAATAATGCATCATTCGCCGAATCTGTCATAAATTATTCGTTTGCTTCAGTTGTTTGAATCTGCTCAGTTTGTTTCCGCACTTTATATTACAAGTATAAATCCCAGTACCGCATTTCTCACCGACTCATCCGTATTTACAACTAACCAATTGTCTTGAGTTTTGCATAAGAATATTCTTCCTAAACAGACCAAATACTGCTATCCTCCTGAAAGTTGTTGAAATCAGGAGTTTATGAAGAGTAGGACATTGTTTCACTTATTAAGCTCATTGATGTGGGCTCCTTAGAATATTCCATTATTTACTTTGACTGCAGTATTAGTTTTTCTTTGATATGGGGTGAATTAGGTGTTTTAACTAATGGAGATGTTTAACTTATGGCATTAGAATGGGTTCACATGCTCACACTATAAAAATTCTCTATGGAAATGTTTGGACATTTCAGACATGTTGCTTATCATGGGCCTACAGTAGAAAGGTATTCAAAGGTTATTAATTTTTTCGTCGTTACTTCTTTGAAACAAATGACTCGTTCTTATTTCGATATACTAGGTATTTTTTCGTGGAATTGTAGAAGAGCTCCTGTGGTTTATTCGTGGATCTACTAATTCTCGTGAACTTGCGGAGAAGAAAGTACATTTTTGGGACGCAAATGGGTCCCGCGAGTTTTTGGATAATTTAGGTTTCACAGAACGTGAAGAAGGTAAGCCGGTCAGATAACTTTTAATAAAAAAATGTTTTTGTTTTCGTTTCCTCAATAAGTGAATGGAAGTGTGATGTCTGTGTTTTATCAACACCGATCACATGAGCGACACAATGATTTTCGCTTTCCATAATAGTATTCGCCTATTCACACGGACAGAAAGAATACCGTATTTTTTAAAATTGTCACCCAAAACAGATTTTTCATCTTCCATTTATTGTGCGAAGGCTGATAATACTACTACACAGTTGCCCAGATTGAAATTAATGGAGCTAGGTTCGGACGATGAATCCATTGGATGAAAGTTTAGAGCTTTAGTCAATGAAAAGCAAAAGCAGCATACTACAAATAAAAACAGCTTCATTTGTTCACTGATCTAAACTGGGGATAATGTAAAAAGCGAAGAAATACGTTGAGATTGAATATTCTGTTTGCTTTTTAACATAAAGCGTATTTTAATCATTGATGTCAGACGAGTTTAAAAAGCCTTGCAGTTCATTGATTTAGCCACGTGGTTTAAGCTGATGGATCCCGGACTGGAATCCTGCTCAGCTACTTTAGCCTGAGTAACTGAGTAATACCATCAGCGCTCACACAATAAGTTTGGCTTTTTAGCCCGATACCGGTTAAGTGAGTTCTCGTCAGTTATCAGTCAGTTACATTCATTCAACTACTCTTAATCTGTATGTATGCAGTTTAATCTGTTTCATTATTTATTTGCCCCAGGTCTAGATTGTAAAAGAGTATTTTTAAATATTTTAAATTTCCACTAAAACATTTCTTTGCAATCAGTTGAGTTCTCTGAACTGGTTGGTTTAATTGCGTAGCTTTCGTCGTCCTTCTGGACAACATCTTCAGCGCAAGTTTCAGCATAAAATGAAATGATATAAATTCTTCAATTTAAATTCTCCACAATTAAACCACTAAGCTCAGAGAACACAACTAATTGCAAATCATTCACCTGAGCTACAAATCTTCCCTATTATTTTAAAACATTTATTCTTTCGGCTTGTAACTATACTGACAGTAAGGGGGATTCGATAATGCTAATTTTTAATTTTGCTCTTATTGTTCAGGCTTGTTGCTTTCTGAATCACAGTCAGAGGGCATAGTTTGTTGAAAATAACTTCAGTGAACAAATTCGCGTTGTAGTATTACTGTTGAAGTTGATTATACCAGTTTATTCTAACTTTACTGAAGACATTTTGTGACTAGTGGTTACAAAATGAAGCAACTAAATTTGTGAGTTGTTATGATCTATTTGTAGAATAACTGTTGATCGACTTTGATGGCTAACAACAGTTCATTCTTTTCACCATATAGTGAACGACACAAATATCCTTAAAAGATTTGTGTCTTAGAAAAAAAATGGAATTTCAATTTTGTATTGAAGTTTTTCGTTATGTTTACTTGCTTTTCATACTTTTATCTATTATAGGCGATCTAGGTCCAGTGTATGGTTTCCAATGGCGTCATAGTGGTGCGGATTACATAGACTGTAAAACTGACTATACTGGTCAAGGTGTGGATCAGTTAGCCGATGTGATAAAGCTGATAAAAGAACGTCCATGGGATAGAAGAATTATGATTGTAGCTTGGAATGTAAGGGGTGAGTAAGTATAGATTTATTTACTTTGAATTTGGTCACGTTTTATATCACAGTTCATAGTCGTCTTAGTATTGATAAGATTAATAAATGAAACGATAAGTTATTAGGTCCGATCACATCACAGTTAAGCTAGTGAAATACTTTCCTTAGCTTATATGAGGAACTGTACGTTTTGTTTTTACTAGGCATTGAGGTGAAACTTGTTTACAAATAACTAGTATTACGTAGCACAGTCTTGTACACTAATATTTCATCGCCAAGACTCAAAATTAAAGACTTACTTAACCTTAATCTCTAAGCCTTGCTAGCAAAATTTATGTAGCGTGTAGAAACGGCGAATAAATTTGAATGTACTAGACTTTAATAGCTATTGCGAACTGTATATACTTTACTTTTGCAACTATCGCAAAGCACTACACCTTTAGTGTTGTGAAACAGGATTTCCAGTATATGAATACATTTCTTAGGTTAGTTTAACGTAAATAAGTTATCAAGGCAGTTGGTTGCTTGTTTCGAACTCCTTCGGTCGGTCGGTTTTCGACATAGAACTTTGCACATATGTGCGGCAGTTCAAGTCGCCACACTCCATGTAGCACACAAAGCAAGAGAAGGAAGTAGGAGAAATGCATAATAATGACAGTAAACAGAGGTGTAAGACAAAGGAATAGTAATAACGGAGAACAAAACAGTTTCATTGGAAATCATAAGTCACAAGGAGTGGATGCATCTGCGCCACTGAGAACGACTTTGAGCCATGTCAACAATTGTTTCCAACCATTGGTTTTTACCGTCCCGAGGACCCCCACCAGGAAGTCTACACCTTCCTACGTCGCTTAGACTAACTGTTGTGGATTTCATTGACTGGTGCCATGTTTTGGTTTGACCGCCGCTAGCTCTTTTCCAGCCTGACCCTATATCAGCTAACATTGCCCGTTGTCTAGGAAGGCGATGACTAGACATACGTAACACATGTCCTTACCATTTCAGTCGATGTAACTTCACAGCCTCGTCAATTGATTTCCCCTCCTTACCTAGCACTCGACGCCTAACCTCAATATTGCTCATCATATTATACCACTTCACGCGGGAGATAGAACGCAGACACCTATGATCGAAGACAGCTAATCTTTTCATGTCTTCTGCTCTCAATGGCCATGTCTCACAGCCATAAAGGAGGACGGAGCGGACTGTTGAGCAGTACACACACCCTTTGGTCGATAGTCGAACTCCTTAGACCAACCAGCACCAATGTAGATAGCGTCTTCGCCTTATCAATTAATTTTTGTTTACTGTTACAGTTAAAACTGCTGTTCACTGTGTATACATGTAATTGATTCTCAGTTTATGCTATTCTGCATCTTATAGACTTGCCTAAAATGGCGCTTCCTCCATGTCATTGTCTTGTTCAATTTTTTGTTGCAAACGATGAACTGAGTTGTCAGTTGTATCAGCGTTCAGGAGATATGGTAAATATTTTCAGTTATTTACTGTTTTGTCTTCCTATTATTGTGAATTTTGAATTCTAGTGTCTTGTACAAGAAAGTACATTAGTTAGTGTTATGGACAAAGTATGTTATGCACTCTTTTTAACCAGTGTTTTATGTGATTGTTCTGTGTGAACTGGACTGAAAGCAGAGTGATTAGATGCTCAAGATTGTTGGGAAAAAGGTTAAAATTAATCATGTAGGGAGATGTAGGCATCTTCTGTGTGTTCATAAAGCCATTATATGTAATATATTGTGATTAGAAAAGTTAATTGTGAATGCGCACTTGAAACTAATCGTTTTCTAAGTTCCTATGGTGTTTCCATATCTATTCGATTACTTTTTTGTCGTCTTAATCATCGATGTATTTGATTACCCTAAGTCATAGTGTGTTAGTCAGTCGAAGATCAGCTGGTAAAGTGCATACTACTAATAGAAGAATAAAAAGTGTAGTCACACTTACATGCAGCACTTCCATTTGAAGACTGCCAAAATTCAGAGCCCCCTTCAACATAGATACTGAAGGCTCGCTTGGTATTTTTCTACTTCTCTTATCTGTGGCATAGACGCAATGTTGACCTTCAGGTATGGTCGGTGAATTTATAAGATTTGAAGAGACTAAAGATTTTCGATTACTGATGACAGCCTTCATTCGCTCATGTTGAATGAGACAATATGATAATCAAGGCTAAAGTTAGACTTTTAGGTAAGGAGGGCAAGTCGGTTATGCAGCTTCATTGATGGAGATGGCTAAAGCATGTACTACACATGTCCAGCTATCGTCTTCCTAAGAGAGCGATGTTAGTTGATGTAGCATCAAGTTAGAAAGAAGTTAGAGATGTTCAGACGAAAAAAAATCAATCCGTAAATTTTTAACTGCTGGTCTTAGTGATGTAGGAAGCTGTATATTGCTTTGAATAGAATTCTCAGGATACTCAAAATCATTGATTGCAGACTGTGAAATCTTCTGCACTGGTGAGGGTGTATTTACTTGTCATCTTTCGAATTTTAAATAGACCCTTCTGTATTCATTGAATTATCCTCTCAGTCACACTCTTTTTTGTTTCTCTTAGCGTCATTCTGTTTCTGTTCTTTCATTATATCCTTTTCCAAAGTATGGCGACATGAAGTGATGCACTACCATGCTAAGTTCTATGTTGGTTTTTCTAAACGATGGGAGTGTTGCCTTGTGCCACCTAGTTTATGAACTGTGCGAAGTACGTCGCATGAAGATTTCTCTGATTCTGTTGCGTTCCGAGTTCAACATAGGACTTTCCTCTTCACCAAACTTATTGCCGGTTCAGTGGAGTTTAGGAGTGTATCGGTCGGGAATCGGACTGGTACCACTGATCCACCGATGTACTATGTCTCATGAAGATATTGAGATTAATTATTTTGATTTAATACGTTTTCTTTTCTTTTGTGTGGTGTTGGTTGACTTTCCATTGAAATCAACATTCATTTTTGTTTTAGGGTCTTGGAGTACCATTCAATATTGCCAGTTACGCTTTATTAACTTGTATGATTGCCCATATTACTGGATTAAAACCAGGTGAATTTGTGCATACATTGGGTGATGCACACATTTATTCAAATCATCGTGAAGCATTACTTGAACAGGTAAATGTTATATTAGTATCATAGAATACATTTTTGTGTTAATGTTAAACATAATTTGAATTTCATACAACCGGTTCCTATTATTCGTTTGAAAAGAACAACGGACATATTTGCAGGATGATACGAGCTCGTTTTATTTCGTGGATTCTTTCCAACTGCGTACATCCTAAACACAATATCAAAATATAGGTTACATAATTTCTGAATAAGCGTCTGTGGCACAGCGATAGAATGCTCACCAACCACTCATGTGGTCCGGGGTTCGATCGCCGGCCGACGGACTCCTTTACTTCGCTAGGCTGGCAATAAGACTGGTAAAGAGGGAAGGTTGGGCATGAGGCTAGCAACCCGATCCCGTAAAAATGAACACCACTGCTACTGAAACTTCGAGCCTCTAGCTTGAAGCCCTATGTTCCACTGGAAACATAAAGGAATAAAAGAAAATTTCTGAACATACTTTTTCACTGTGGTGTGGAGTTGTAGATAGAAGGATAGCGTGACTAGTCTCTCACTACCCTGGTTACTATAATTGTTATGGTCGTGCGCTTTTGTGTTTTGTTCTGTTGCGTAACTTTCCACCTGATTTTGATTTTCACTTAATCAGTTGAAGCTACTATTAAGTTTCTAAATTTATTTGTTTGTTGATGCCATAATTTTACTTTACTATTCTCTCCCACCCTCCTAAACTCTCCATCTTAATATGCATAAATTTACTCTGTTGTGCTGTCGTGTATTTTGTCTCTAGTTCATCCTTGTTTCCGAGAGAAATTTGAACTCTACAGCCCTTATTTAATTACTACATAAATAGTTACCCTTTTAACACTAAATAATTGTCTACTTACATCATCTTTGAAATTATGTTGCCTATACTTTCTATCTGTAACTTGAAGTCATTGTAAAAAGTATGTTCAGACACCATTTTGTAACATATAATTGATTTATTTAAGATGTACGCAGTTGAAAAGAATCCATGAAATTAAACGAGCTCGTATCATCATAATTTGTTCATTCTTTTTTCAAAGTCCTTTGGATTTTCTTGTTTCTATGAGATATTGATTCGATGAACAGATCAAATCAGCGATCAGTCTATCACTTCACCTTTTGTAGAGTGAATTTATTAGTAAATCAAGCTTCTCTGACTCTAGCTACTACTAGCATCAAGTTAATATTACACGGTAATCACTCAATTATAATCTACAGCCTATAAAACAATTTAAATGTGACATTGTTTACATCTGACAACACCAACTCCGTCCATCAAACTTGTGATTGCTTTAGTGTATAGTAGTTGTTCGCGTTTTTTTAAAAATTTTTGTTTTGTTTTCAAGAAATATTTTCACACAGATGTGTATTTTCCTTCTAAGATTTGATTGATTTGTCAATTTATTCAATTTTTTTTCTTCCTGTAGGTTAAACGTGTACCACGACCTTTTCCAAAATTAGAAATAATACGTGAAGTGAAAGATATCGAAGATTTTAAATATGAAGATTTCAAACTTATTGATTATAAACCTTATCCAAAATTACCTATGAAAATGGCAGTTTAAAGGGAATGAATAATCAGTCTACACTGTTGGTATACTACTGTCATAGTTTGGATATGAGGCTTTTTCCCCCTCTGATTATGTATAAGTGCTAAATATCTATTTGATTATTATTTTTTTAAACATACTTTTGTACTTGTCTATTTCTATTTGAGAAGAAAATAAATATTTTGTATGTGTATTTATGTGCTTATTTTTAACATTAGGAATAATACATTTCAATATGAACTCTGATCAAGAGTTAGTCGAATGGTTCCACTGACATGCGGCATCGAATGAAAAATAGTCACATATGTGAAAATTATATTTGTATAAATCTATCGATTTTCAATACAAATGTCAAGTCAGTCAGTTAGTGCTTCTATACGGGTCAGGAATTTGGACAGCGTGTCATGGAAAGCATTTCCAACTGGTCTCTGCAAACTTGTAGCAACAGCTGCTTTATATGGCCCTATATTGAAGGTCAAATAGTGGTCCAGGATGAATTAACAACAAGGAACTATGGGAACAAACTAACCAAGAGTCGATTGCTCAACAAATATGTAGGAGAAAATGGAGATGGATCGAGCACACACTGAGGAGGCCGTCGAATGACATCGCGCACAATGGAGACCATCACTCGAGTAGGAACCGAATGGGAAGCGACGAGGGTGACATGGAGGAGATCGTGCGAGTTGCAGGAGAAGAGAGATTTTGGTCAGTCGTGGACCCAGCTGAAGAGGACAGCAGAAAATAGAAGAAAGTGGATATGTGCAGTTGAAGCCCTATGTTCCACTCGGAACCCAAGGGAATAATAATTGTAAATATCGCTGATACTGAAATAATTTCAACATTTCATCTGGCAAACTGATCCGCAAAGGTATATATATGATTATTGTCTCCTTTAGTTCCTAGAGGAACATAGGGCTTCAGCCGAACGTCTCCATTGCGTTCGGTTCTCTTCTAACATTTTCACCTGGTTCCACGTCTGCTCACATGCTTTCATCTCCTCTTCACATGACCTCCTGCATGTCACCCTCGCACTGACGACCAACTCACCGCTTCCCGTTCGGGTTCCACTCGAGAGCAGTCGTGTGATGTCACTTGATGGTTTTCTCAGAGTATGGCTGATCCACCTCCATTTCTTCCTACAGATTTGTTGCACAATCGGTTCCTGGTTGGTTCGCTCCCAGAGATCCCTATTGCTGATTTTTTCTGGTCGGCCATCTTATCTTGAGTATTGAGCGAAGACAGCTGTAGTTGTTTCGAAGTGCTCCTCATAACGCGCCAATATATATATATATAGTTTCACATATCCAGTCTTCTTCTGTTATATGCTGTAAACCTTGTGTGTACTTTTATATCAACGAAAACAAAACACGTAGTTCGGTGAAGAGGCTTTTTCGATGAACTCATTTTTATAGCTGCACAATCGCAATTATATACAATTTTTCATTAAAAAAGGGTAGTAACAAAAGTGATGAGTTGTCACAATCCTAGTTGTTAATATTAGTCAATGCATAAGAGGAGTGGAATAAGTGTATTCGAGTTGCGAAATAAGGTGGATAATTTAATGAATGAGTTGTAATCACGATGCACACAGAGAAACGAAGGAAAATATGGAATTATGTAACATTATGGTCATAGGTGTCTGCGTTCTATCGCACGTGTTAACTAGTATCATAAGGGGAGCAATATTGAAGTTAGGCATCCGTCGAGCGCTAGGTAAGGAGGGGAAATCGAATGACCAGGTTGTCAAGTTATATCGATTAAGATGGTTAGGACGTGTATTATGCATGCCTAGCCACCACCTTTCTCCATGTACGATGTTAGCTGACATAGGATGGATCAGGCTGGAAAAGAGCTAGTGGTGGTCAAACCAAAACATGGCTTCATCAGTCAATGAAGGCTGTAACAGTCGTTTTAAGCCAGGAAGGCAGGGGTAGACTTTCTGGGGGGTCCTGGGGATGGTAAAAACCAATGGCTGGAGACACTTGGTGATACGGTTCAAAGTCGTTCTCAATGAGGGAGATGCAGTTACTCTTTGTGATTTATAATATCCAATAAAATTCTATTAATCTCCTATATTATTGTTCTTTTTGCCTCATATTTCTGTTTATTTCTCTTTTGAATCTCTACTTACTCTCTCGCTTTGTGTGCTACAGACAGGGATTTAGAAAAGCAAATAAACAAAAATCAAGACAGTAGAAGTCAACAAGTTTGTTGACATGATAGCAAGAGTGGTTGAATAATTTTCGCCAGTATATATGGCTCCGGTTCCTCTATCTGAGTGACTAGAACTTCAGGGATGCAAAGCAGACGAAAGCGTATTTCCTTTGGCATGCTGTTCTTCACTTTAATAGATTACTCTGAAGGAGGCGTTTGTCGAAATGCAATGGCCTGTGTCGACAAGGTGTTTGACTATCGCACTCCTTATAGAACCACTACTGCCTTTCTACAATCATGCACGAAAGTGTTATTGAACCATTTTAGACAAGATACACATCAAACGACCAATATACGTGTCTCAAAAAGAACACAACACGGATGAAGATGTCAAAGCCATCCATCCAGAATTGGAAGGGCAAAACACGCCTTCATCAACCTGAAAGCAGTTTGGAAATATTCTGCACTCCGTCTCAGCATAATCAACAACACAAATGATAAGTTGGCCAGTTCTTCTATACGGGTCAAAAACTTCGTCAACGTATCACGAAAAGCATTTCCAACAGGTCACTACAGACTTTTATCAACAGCTGTCACCTACACTGGCTCCATACTGAAGGTTGGATGGCTAGCGGGCCGTCCAGAAAGAATTAGCGACAAGAAGCTCTGGCTGAGAACAAACCAACCAATAGCCGATTGACCAACAAATATGTAGAAGAAAATGGAGATGGATCGGGCATGCGTTGAGGCGGTCGTCGAATGAAATCGTGCGCCAGGTCATTACTCGAATGGAACCTCTATGGAAAGTGACAAGTTGGTCGTCCTAGGTTGAAATAGAGGGGATGAGATTATGGGCAATCGTGGACCCGACTAAAGATGACAGTACCAAATAGAAGAAAGTTGAGAAGTGTTGTTGAAGCCCTATGTTCCTCTCGGAACATAAGGTAATAATACAAATAATAATATGGAATTCCTTTTCAACATAATAATATAATGATGATTATTATATATTCTGATGTCATTTAGTTTTTATAGTATCTATTTTGAGTAGGTTTTATATGCTTTCTGAGTAAGACTTCAAAAGAATTAATTATATTCTGTTCAATTAATGTAATCAGGAATGTAGATTCAAAGGTTTCTTTTTTTGCCTAGAAATATTATTCATTTATTATGCTTTTGTAAAGTCATTCGGCATCGAGATACGTATGACAGAAATCATTTACTAGTGGATGTTCATTGGGCGACATTTTATTTCAAAAAGTTATTATTATTTTTTTACTGCTTGTATTAGTTAGATTGATGGTGAATGGTTGTCATCAGAAGTATTAATTGTGTATTATAGTGAAAGACTATCTCGTTTGTTTTCGGTTACAAGTTAATCCAGAAACTGATTTGTTCTCCTATTATTCATTTTTATTTCGTTAGTTGAAAAAGTTATAATAATACACAGATGTAGAGATGTTTGATGAAATATTGGCGAATCCTGTCCTGTTTTTCTCTCTTCTATATATTTTTTATTAGTGGATACATGAGATTTCTGTTTGGAAATAAAATCCATCAGATTACTGTCGTTTGGATGTGTCATACAGTGCATACAGTACTGTGGATCTCTTTTCCATACTTCCAAATTTATTCTATACATACTGTAGCCGTACTTTTTTCCACTTGACTAATTGAAATTATTAGATAATAATCATTCCATGTCATAGGCTTCCATTAGTGTCTGACAGCCTGCCTTACTTTAATTGGTTCATCATTTAATGTCTTTATTTTGCCTGATATTTTATTTATTTTATTTTTCCTCTGTACTTACAATCATTTATGAGTAGTTTTCCTGTAAAGTGTTAATGTATGCCTTGAGATCATTGTTACTCGAAGTGTTTTGGTCAACTAGATATTACATAATTTGACCTAATAAGTGTAAGTAGTTCAAATCATTAGTAGGATAAAATTTTACTGTCAGGCTTACTGTTTATGAAACAAGTTACAGGAATATGTCTGCGAACATGGACGTTCAAGTTTTATTACCTATCCCTTGGGTTCTGAGTGGAACATATGGCTTCAACAACACTTCTCAACTTTCTTCTATTTGGTACTGTCATCTTTAGTCGGGTCCACGATTGCCTATAATCTCTCATCTCATTCAAAATGATCCCCTACATTTCATCCTAGGACGACCAACTGGTCGCTTTCCATACAGATTCCATTCGAGTAATGGCCTGGCGCACGATTTCATTGACGACCGCCTCAACACATACCCGAACCATCTCCGTTTTCTCCTACATATATGTTGATTAATGGGCTATTGGTTGGGTTGTTCCATTGAAGAGTTTCTTGTCGCTAATTCTTTCTGGACGGCCGCCTAGCCATTTGATCTTCACTATGGAGTCATTGAAGGTGGCAGCTGTTGATAAAAGTCTGCAGTGACCTGTTGGAAATGCTTTTCGTGATACGTTGGCCAAGTTTCTGACCCGTATAGAAGAACTGACCAACTTATCATTTATGTTGAAAATCCGAATCTTGTTCTATACACTGAGATGTAGTGCATAAGATTTCTACACTAGTTTTAGGTTGATGAAGGCGTGTCTTGTCCTCCCGATTCTGGTTGGCTTTGAAATCTACATCCATCGTATTCGACTGTAGTTGAAAGGAAGCTTCCTAGTTAGGTGAGGGAGGTAAACTCTGTCAAACTTCCCCCTTTGATTATGATTGGTGCTGATTGTTATTGTTGGTATCGTTTGGGTATCTGCATCACTTCCATATTCTCTATGTTCACCTGGAGTCCTGTCTTCGCTGCCAGCTTCTTCAGTCAGTTTGTTGGTTTTCACCTGCAAGTCTTCGAGTTTGTGTGTGTGACATTAAACATAAATCATTCACGCGTGAAATCCAGATCTTCTAGAGTCTTCTTATCGGTGGTCCAGCGTATTCCTATCCTCTCACTCCCTGTGCACAGTCTGATGCATAATCCAGACTACCACTA